ATTACAATTGCATAAATCTAAATTTTGACTGAGAGTTTGGCTTCGCCGTAAAAATAAAAGGTTCCTGGCAGTAAAAGTACTTTTTACAAATCGGGTTACCTAGCATTTATTTTGCAATGGACATCTAACACAATATTACTGTTTATTTTCAGACTCCGAAAAGTAGATCATAAAAACTCGTTATGTAAGTATAAAATTAGTCAAAACAAATGGTATGATTCTTTTCGTCACTTTATATCAAGGATAACAATTCTTGAATAAAAAGTCATAAGGATAGTTTTTTTTTTTTTTTGGGACGTGGGATTGAGGAAGATTTTTAGAAATTGTATTTTGTAGCCTAAAATGAAGTTTCTTTTTATACCATCCACCATACTATGGAGGGTATATTAACTTTGTCATTCCGTTTGTAACTCCTCGAAATACTGATGTCAGACCCAACAAAGTACATATATTCTTGATCAGCTTGAAATTCTAAGTCGATTTAGCCATGTCCGTCTGTCTGTCTGTCCATCTCTCTGTTGTAATCACGCTATCTTTCGAACGAATTGAGATAGAAGTCTAAAATTTTGCATAGAAGGCTAAAAATTTGTACACGTTTATTTTTCCAGTAGGCAGGTTAAGTTCGTAAATGGGCCATATGGGTCCAAGTTATCATATAGCGCCCATATAACGGTACCCCCCGATATTCGATATTTTTATTATTTTAGCGACATTATTAACCGGAATTATTTCATATTTGGTATTTGAAGTTCGTAATGGATACTACAGCCTAAGACAGAAAATTATCTGTGCAGGTCCACGTCTTCGTATAGCCCCCATATACCCTCCACCATACTATGGAGGGTGTATTAACTTTGTCATTCCGTTTGTTACTCCTCGAAATACTCATGTCTGAACCAACAAAGTAAATATATTCTTGATCAGCTTGGAATTCTTAGTCGATTTAGCCATGTCCGTTTGTCTGTCTGTCCGTCTGTCTGTTATAATCATGCTATCTTTCGAAGGCTAGGCTAGGCGAGATAGAAGGCTAAAATTTTGCACACACGTTTATTTTTCCAGTAGGCAGGTTAAGTTCGTAAATGGGTCATGCGGGTCCACGTTTTCATATGGTCCCCATATAACGGTACCTCCCTACATTTGGTATTTTGATGATTTTAGCGACATTATTAACCGGAATTGTTTCAAATTACGTATTTAGAGTTCGTAATGTGAACTACAGTCTGTGACAAAAAATGGTCTATGCAGGTCCAGGTCTTCGTATAGGCCCCATATAGCGGTACCTCCCTATATTAGGTATTTTGGACAATTTTGGGTACAATACTCAACGAAATTGTTTGAGATGTCGTATATGAAGTTCCCTATATACTTTATTTTGATGATTTTAGCTACATTATTCACCGTTTATTTCAAGTTTCGAATTTGGATATGGTAATGACTTATGACAAACAATGCCCATGTAGGTTCACGTCGTATAGACACCAATATAACGGCTTTATTCGGTATTTTTAAAATTTTAAAAGAATTTTTTAAGGATTTTATTTCCAAATTCGATCCAAATGGTGGAGGGTATTCAAAGTTCGGCCCGGACGAACTTACTGCTTATTAACTTGTTGATTTTGTGGTATTTTAATGTCACAGCCATTCCAAATTTTCAAAAAAAAAAAAATAAATAAATAAATAAAAAATATGAATTATTGTGCGGCATGTGTACTTTAAAAATGCCAAGTCTTTGGCATTGCCAGCGTCTATCAGAGACAATACAAAATTTCACACGCTTATCTAGCGATAAGTCAATAGCTGTAAAGGTATGCATTTCCTTATCGTGACAATATCACTATTTTTTGTGCATTTTGTATTATCTGATCAGTAATTAAATTCATAAATGGGAGGTTGTGTTTGGAACTGCACTGATTAAAAAATTTCATTTTAATACTACCTCCAAGGTAGATGACTTCAGAGTAACATAACTAATGTTATAGATATCCAAACGATAAAATTCCTTCGAGGATAAGGATAATAGAAGATAATAAGAAAAAGTAAAAAGCAGCAATGTTCGGCCTGGCCGAACTTTTAAATACCTTCCATCATTTGAAAGGAACTTGATAATTAAAAAAAAAACCGTCGAAAAATACCGCTATACGATATCGTGGACCGAATAGACCATCTTGGAAATTAACCTGCCTGCAGGCAAAAGACTGTCCTGTGCATCTAAATTTGTTCGGACTCTAGCGTGAGTACAATAAATCTAAGAATTTTACGCAAATCAAAAATATACATATACTTTACTGGGTCTAAAATTATTATTTTGATAAGTTACAAAAGGAATGACGAACTTAATATTACCTCCATACTATATATGGTGGAGGGTATAAAAATCATATTTGAAATACAAATAATACTACCATTTAATGAATATTATCTTTTTAAGCCATCTTGTTATACCCTTTTTACCAAGGAGATAGACTCATAGCTACTTTTGAGGATCTTTACAGAATCACTCACTGAGTCGATTTATGCAAATCAGCCCGTCTGTCCATCCGTCTATGTACGCATATTTGTCAACAAAACGAAGGTCGCATTTATTATCCGATTAAAATGAAATTTTCTAAACAATATAGGGTGAGATAAAAAAAACTGCAACAAAGTCAGACGCCATAATATTTACATAATTTTTTAATTTTATTGAATGAAAGCAAAAAATTTCGAAAAAAAACATCAAATATTAGAATAAGCTTAGATTTGTTCGAATTGGTCACCTTTGGCACGAATCGTGGTTTTCAAACGGCCAATCAAACCGTCACAAGCTGCCCGAATGTTGCTCTGCGGGATTTTGGCCCATTCCCTTCGAAGCGCTTGCTTGAGGTGATCGAAACTTTGGTATTTTCTAGTGCCAACCTTGCTTTCCAAAATACTTCAGATACAATAGCCCAACGGATTGGTATCCGGAGATTTTGGTGGCCATTGTGCGCTGGAAATGAACAATTTTTAAGTGGCGCGTGCTGAGTGCGATGTTGTTGAGTCCTGTTGGAATGTCCAAGGTCTGTGCCAAAATGTTTGCGTACCCAAGGCTTTAATACACCCTCCAGAATATTTTCGCAATAATATTCGGCATTTATTCTGTTGTCAATTAATACAAGCGAAGAGCGACCATCGGCTGTTAAGGCGTCCCACACCATCACCATGAATTCCATCCATCACAAATAACTTTTTTTCTGGAAATTCTCACCAAAATGCTGTTGTACGCTTGTAAACAATATAATGAGCTGTCACTGTAATAATTTTAACAGCTGTCGTACGAGTGGCCTCGAAATTACTGCAGTCTGAAGTTGGTTGCAGTTTTTTCATCTCACCCTGTATTTGCTTGTCCCAAACCCTATCGAAATCGGTGAGAATGAAATCAAAATGACCTGAATATTGGCGCATCCGACGAAATTTATTCTAGGAGCAAGTACATTAAATTTAGAGAAAATCGGTTCAGTTATAGCTATAGCTCCATATATATGTTTCATCCGATTTGGCCTTTAAGTCCCTCACATTCCTATTATGTTCTGCACAAGAATTATCTTTGGCCCCAGATATCAGATACAGCCCGAAAAACTTTGCAAATTCTATCAAGATCGGTTCAGATTTTTATATAGCTTCCATATATATCTTCAACCGATTTCGGGTTAATTTTGCATCCAATAGTCAATATCAGTCCAAATAACCTGAATTTTGTCACATCCGACCGAATTTATCCTAGAAGCAAGTACATCAAATTTGGTGAAAATCGGTTCAGATATAGCTATATTTCCCTCATATGTTTCTTCCGATTTGGGGTTTTGAGTCCCTCACATTAGGAAAGTATATATGGATCTTCCTATCTCGTCGAGCTTCCTATCTGGATGCAGCTATGCATTCCGTCCGTCCGTCTGTCCATGTTAATTTGTAATAAATCTACCCGTCGCAATTATGGGCCGATTCTCACGAAATTGAAAATGGAGGCAGGGTTATGGCCAGAACAGAACCTTATTACTTTTGAAGATCACATAATATTTAGGGGTTGAGACGGACCAACAACAACAAATGTTGCTGATTTTGCAGGTCACACATAGAAACCAAAGGTCACGAAATCTCACATGTAGTTAGAGTTTAGGACAGTGGGTAGAATGGACCACTACATGTTGTACAGGCAATATCCTAAATACACAAAAGTCGAACTTCTGGATTTTTTATCCTGATTTCGTTGGCGATTATAAACAAATATCGCAGACAACCAAATCATATATATGAGTCTAAATTTGGAGATACAGATGGGTCTCTTGTTTTTGGAAATGATCGCAAAACATTTAAATGAAATGAACCAACAACGGAAATATTTTCCTGATCACACAATTGAAGCGTATCGAGAAGAAAGTTAAAGACCGTGAAGAATTCTAGTATTTTGGATGACCATTGGATTATATTTAGCTGTAAAATGGACCACAACAACTAACAGCAAGACAGAGTGCGTAAATATTGGTCAAATGTCTCTGGTAAAAATACTAAGGGTAATATCTGGGCAGTGCTCCATAACATAATTTAAAAAGCGAAATCTTCCAAAATGGATTTGGATATAAGGGGGCTTCTAACATATTGTAGTGTTGTAGTGTATCACATGGTCGGCCCCGCACGACTATAGCCTTTGCTTACTTGTTTTAAGTATGTTTTTATTTTTTTTTCTCCACTTGAATAATCTCATTATGGACACACCCATACGCCCCTATTCAGATCCGTAGTCGTTGTTTATTTATTTTGAAAAAAAAAAAACTATATCGTACGCAGTTACGTACACTTTATTACTAATTAATTCTAACGTAAGCGATACTGTCACACCGTAAATCCGTTATTGACAGTTGTTGTAAATATTTGTTATCAGCACATATTGTTATTACAATTAAGATGTATTTATTTTATTTTAATTAATTTATGAAGTGAAAAAAATCCATTGCATTTTAAAAATGTTTTCCTTGAAGCGAAAATTAGATGCTAAGTCTTTTGTAAAACGTTCGGTTTAACGCATCAGTGAAACGGTTATTTTTTAACAAAGATTTGTGGCGGATAAATTTAGAAAAATATGACAATTGTGGTGGCAAAGGGTAAAATATTAATTTTGAGAAAAAAAAAAAAAAAAAAAAAAAAAAAAAAAAAATTTGGGATTTGAACCGCAGACCTCGGTGTGCAGCCAACTAGAAGTTGCCGTCTCTACGTTCAGAGCCATTAACCCGTCTTTTCCAAAGCAGCACTAAAACAAGTGTATGCATTGGAATCAATGTAGTTGTTGTGGACAAAAAATCCATCACTACAAAAACAAAACTTTGCTGTGAAAAAGATCTGCCAATAGAACTTGAGTCGAACCTGGAGAGTTTCTAGTGTATAATTCGCATATGCTAATTTGCAATAAGTTCGAAATATATACTACTTTCTAGAGAACGGCCCTTGTAAGCCATCATCCACACCAAATATGCCTGATGAGCCGCTTAACCAACGGCGAAACGCGTCGCATAGTGGTGAGTGTGTAATAGTGTCTATCTGGCTTTCCTTTTCACTGCAAATTTCAGATCATTAAGCTCGTCTCGAAAGAGAAAACAAACACATAAATCAAAAAAATAAATAGTTTGTGAAGTTATATATCTGATTTAAATATGTGCTCTTCTATAGCTTTGACCAATTCAGATATTTCATGAAGGGCGTTGAAAAAATATTAATGTTGTTGTTATTACATAAAATATGGACAAATTTTTTAAAAACTTATATCCGTTTTATACCCTCCACCATAGTATGGATGGTATATTAAATTTGTCATTCCGTTTGTAACACCTCGAAATATAAATTTTAGACCATGAAAAGTGTATATATTCTCTTTCATCATAAAATTATGTATTGATTTAGCGATGTCCCTCCCTCTGTCTGTCTGTTTGTCTGTCCGTCTGTGGAAATCATCGTAGCTTCCGAAAGAAATGAAGTAGGTTGATAAAATTTTCCTAAGATGTGTGTTTTTTCTGCAGGACCTTTACTATTGAAAATGGGCACTATAAGTCCACGTTTTCACATAGCCTGTACTGACACATTTAAGGTTATTGGCAGCTTTAGTCACAATTTTAGCCCAAATTTACTGTAAATTGGCAGTATACAGGGTGATATAAAAAACTGCAACAAATTCATACGCCATATTTTTTATTTATTTTTTTTAATTTTATTGAAAGAAAGCAAAAAAGGTTGGAAATAGCATAAAATTTGGGAATAAGTTTAGATTAGTTCGAATTGGTCACCTTTGGCACGAAATATGGCCTTCAAACGGCAATATTTGGTATTATGGCTTTGGACTTTGGTATTTTTTAGTGCCAACCATGCTTTCCAAAATACTTCAGACACAATAGCTCAACGGATAGGTATCCGGGAATTCTGGTGGCCATTGGTGGCCTCTTTTTGTACCAATTCTTGGGTGGTGCATGCTGAGTGCGATGGTGCTGAGTCCTGTTAAAATGTACAAGGTCTGCGGCCAAAATGATTGTGTTCCCAAGGCTTTAATACACCCTTCAGAATATTTTCGTAATAATGTTCGGCATTTATTCCGATACCACGGTCGATTAATACGAGCGGAGAGCGACTATCGGCTGTTATGGCGGCCCACACCATCACCATGGCCGGCGCTTGAGTTCTGGTGGCCAACCGAAGGTGCAAATTTTCAGCTGACCTCTTTGGCAAGGAAACACGATCATTTTGTTTGTTTACAAACTGCAGGACAACGAATGCTTTCTCATCGGAGAAAACCAAATTCGGCAGTTCACCACTTTCGGCCAAGCGAAGCTACTCTTTAGCTCTTTTGAGTTTATTTTCTTTCTGTTGCGGTGTAAGTTCTTGCATCTTTTGGAATTTCAATGGCTTTACCCCGAGCTCATTTTTCAATATTTGCCGAATGGAATACTGCAATATGTTCAGCTCACGAGCCATTTTTCGGTCACTACGAGGCGAGGGTTTCGATCAATTCGCTTCTTTACTTTTCGAACCACATCCGCTGTTTTCTTCCGTCCACTTCCTTGATGTCGGGCTACGCTACCAGTATTACGCTAACGAACGATGGTACGAGACAGAAAAGATTTAGAAATGATAGCAGTCTGAAGTTGGTTGCAGTTTTTTCATCTCACCCTGTATGTTCCCATTATGTAAGAACTGTCAATGTATGTCTAAATTCTGATATAAACCCCATATAACTGTACCTACAATTATTCGTTATTTTGATGATTTGTTTGTCACACTTTTCGAAGGAAATATTTCAAAATTGTAATTTGAAGTTCCTAAGGGGTACTACATTCTTTGACAGAAAATTTCTCAAACAGGTCTACGTCGTCCTATAGAGACATTATTAATCGGAATTTATCATTTATTTATTTATCCTAATGGGTACGACCGTCTGTGACAGAAAATTGCCTATGCAAGTCCACGTCTTTGCAGGCCCCAATATAACGTTAGATCCCCATATTCGGTATTCTAATAATGGTGGATGATTTAATGGTTGATGGTTATAAATGTTCGGCCCGGCCTAATTTATTACTTTTTTACTTGTTTTCCTTAATTTTGAAACAAGTATTTTTCTGGTCTCGGCTCAGAAGCATTCTAGAGAGCCCGAATTTTGGTTAAAATTGGAAATATTACAGTTGGAATCTCGAAATAAAGTTTTGAAAATAACTACTCATTTTTCTGTGCATTTTATACAGGTCCCTTAATAGGCCAACGCCATGTCCAGGCCGTTTTGTTGTTTGCCTGTATAGCTGTGAATTATATGATCAAATATAATGCTAGCATAGCGCTGGTGGCTATGACCAATGCAGAGAGTACCAACCCTGATTTTCCGGTATGTAGAACGTAACTCAAATATTGTATCCGAAAACTCTGAAAAAAAATTATTTTCTATACAGGAATATAATTGGAATGAGATGGAAAAATCGTACGTACTCTCCAGTTTCTATTGGGGCTATGTGGTGACACAATTTCCAGCTGGCTATGCATGTCGTCGCTTTGGTGCCAAAATGGTATTGTTCGTATCGACTTTGGGTTCTGCGATAGCTGCCATAATTGTACCATTTACCGTTAATTGGGGTGGATGGCAAATATTTTGTGCAATACGGGTGTTGCAAGGATGCTTTCAGGGTTTCGATTTACCCTGTGTTCATGCCCATTTAGCTCTGTGGAGTCCGGTGGAGGAGAGAAATCGTTTGGGTGCATTAGCTAGTTCGGGTATTGAATGTGGAACAGTTATGGCCATGTTTATAAGTGGTTTAATTGCAACATCAAGTCTCGGCTGGCCAGGCATATCGTATATATCAGGTGCCGTTGGCATAGCATGGTGTATTCTGTGGGAGATATTTGCGGCGAATTCGCCAAACAAATCAAGATTTATTTCGAAAAACGAGAGGAGTTATATTGAAAATTCTATAAATTCGGTGAAGGAGTCAGTGGAGATCAAGGCTGTGGAGAAGCAAATTCCCATACCCTGGAGGGCAATTTTACATTCTCCACCTTTTTGGGCTTTGTTGATCGTACGAAGTGCCGAAAATTGGGGATTTTCGGCCATACAAGCCGAACTGCCGGCCTATATGAATGGTGTCTTTCGCATGGATATGAAAAGCAATACCCTATACTCAGCATTGCCGTATATCGCCCTATGGATATTGTCCTATTGTTATTTAATATTGGCCGATGTCCTTTTGAGATATAAAATTGTAACGCTTAATGTTTTGAGAAAGAGTTTTAACACAATAGCATTTTGGATACCAACGGTGGGCCTAATCGGTGTGGGATTTCTCGAGGCTGATCAGCAAACACTGGCCATAGTTTTAATGATTGCCAATGTGGCCTTGAATTCTGGCTGCACAATTGGCAGTGGCTTGAACTCCATTGATTTGTCACCCAATCATGCGGGTATATTGACGAGCGTAACGAATGCCGTGGGCAGTATAATGCCCATTTTGACGCCCTTGGTGGCAGGGGCCATTGTAAAAGATGAGGTGGGTTTTAAAGAATTTTTAATTTTGGATAATATATATTTCTTTGGATTTGGTAATTTAGAGCAACCGCATTCAATGGCAGATTGTGTTCGCCATCACCGCTGCCGTATTTTTTGTGGGAAATTTAGTTTATATTATTTGGGGATCGGCAGAGCTGCAGGTTTGGGATAATCCCAACTTTCTCACACCGGAGAAGGATGAACCCAGCGAACAAGAACAAAATAGAAGTCATCTGGAAAATGGAACAAAATTTTAATTGATAGTGTATGTTATTATATTTTAAGTTTAAAATAATTTATATATTTGTAACACTTTAAAAATAAAGAAAATTTTATTATTTAGGAACTTTAGAAAAAAATTCAAACAAAATATATAAATATTAAACTTATTTCAATTTCTATAATAAAAAAAATCGTTGAAACCAGCAAGAAAAAGTCAAAAGCCGGACGGGGCCGACTTTATGATACCCTACACCACTATGCATAGTTAGTAGAGCTCTAGCTACGAAATCGGTCAAGATATATGGAAGCTATATCTAAATCTAATCCAATTATCACCAATTCCAATAGTGTTCGTCCTTGGGCCAAAAAAATATTGTTTGCAAAATTTCATCTCAATCGGATAATAAATGCGTCCTGTATTTTGTTCACAAGAATACATGGACGGACGGACTGATCGACATGCATAAATCGGCACAGAAAGTGATTCTATGTAGAGTGATTCTATAAGTAACTATGGGTCTATCTCGCTGCCTTGTGGTGGTATAGGGTATAAAGAGTCAGTCGGGTTGGTCGACAGATATATACCCTTAACATATGTTTGATAAAAATTTATTTTTGTCTTTATTACCTACAACACTTATGTGTTTGGAGTATTATAAGTTTGATTGGGATTTGTAAAATATGAAGAGAACCGGATGTTTATTTTAGATTTTATAATCGTTTTGGTTATTCAAAACGTTGACCCTTTGTGGGGGAGGTACCAGAAGGAATAGTCTTGTACTTCCCCCACAAATGGGTCACAATATTCAATACTCTCATGATCAATTTCCCATAACAAAAAAGACTGGTATTCTTTTCAAACTTGGTATATCTAAATATTTCTATCCACCAGAGATCTCGAGTAAATATGTAGTCGACATAGTCCAAATCTGGCACGTTGTAATTATTTATATCAGACCCATAGTTACTTTTGAGGATCTCCATAGAATCACTTTCTAAGTTGATTTATGCATGTCAGTCCGTCTGCCCGTCCATGACTCTGTAACAACAATATTCAGGGAAATATATGAAATACAGCTCAGAAATATCTTTGCCAAATTTTTGTCGAGATCGGTTCAGATTTGGATATGCTTCGGCATATTTAGTCCTTTGGACTTTAAATTATAATTATAATCATAGCGTGTATAAATGAATTCTCCCATTAAAACTTTTAATTGTTATGCCGAGCTCTACTAAATTAGCAAAGTGGTGTAGGGTATCATAAAGTGGGCCCCGCCCAACTTTAGAACTTTCTTTACTGGTTTTCTTGTGATACTCGATATTCTTTTTGTAAAAATAAATCACATAGCTGGAGCTGTCTGTATTTGTCTTCAGTATACTAAAGCGGTTGTTGTCTAAAATAAGCTAACGCAGTATCGTAACTGAAAATCATTTTATCGATAACACATCTGTTATAATTGATAGCAAATTCATCTAAGTGCAAAACCATTTAATATAACAACAAAACAGCATAGTTTACATACATAGCAATAGAGGGCGCTATGTATTCCCACATTCACTTATGAGCTGTGTGTGAGACTGCATAGATTTTATATTTGTTGCCTATGTATTATTTAAACATAGTGAAATATATGTCTAACAGTTGGCTTGATCATTGTACTTGAACAACCTGCTTATCCTTAAATACTTTCCATTTCCATAATATATGCAAGTATTTTTGATTATTAATCTAAAAACTGTTGTTAAATTTTAAACTGTGTAAGTTGTCAAAAACCAGTAACATATTTTTTGTGTTTTTTATTATATCAAACGCCCACTATTTTCGCACCTGATGCCTCTCTCATTGGGGGGTAATGACTTAATTAAACATAACATTTATGTTTTACGATAAAAACAACGACTACCAGCAGCAAGGCATTCTTTCACACTTGATCTAATCATTTGTATTAACTTGGCCAAATGAATGGCAGCAGAGTCAACGGAAACCTAAACAACAAGGGCCAATAAAGTTGTTCAACAATAAAACCCCGTAAAAGGTAGACGCTTTATAATATTATCGTAGCATTTATCACCCTCCATTTAATCGTTATTCGAGATTATAATTTTATATTTTCCCGCCGCCGAATGCGAAACTTGGAAATCCTAAACCGTTTTCACTCAACACAATTTCATACGATTCGTATCGGTCGTATGCATCGGACATTGGCATATTTCTGATCGGGGAAAATGCTAGAGAAAAAAATCTAAAAAATAATAATAAAAGAAAAAAACTTCAGTGCAAAAAAATTATAATAAACAGAGAAGCAGAAAAATGACGATCGTCGAAGTTGATAAAGGTATAAAATAATTTACAAAGCTGAATAAATAATGTGGAAAATAATCTAGTCGTGGAAACGTGTATTTGCATAAAATGAAAATAAACGGAAAATGTGTGTGCGGGTATTTATAATTATTCGTATATTGTATCAGTGGTGTGTTAAAGAGTACAAATTTGGGAAGCCAAAATGGGAATGTTTTTTTTCACAAAGTTTCCTTATCCACCTACGATGCTGCCCTTCGTGATTCTAATCAAACAAGCGCAAAAACTCTCAATTCCATGGAAATGAAACGATTTTTGAAGATAGTAAAAAACTAAACTCGAATAAAAGAATTTTATCAACAACGATGGGTAAAGCTTGTTACTTCTCCATGACCTTCAAAAAAGTATTCAGACCTTATTTTTCATGAAATTTGCACTCTCGTTTCTACTGATCCAGATTCAAAATTATTGTCAAAGAAATTCGCTTACGTCGTTGTTGTGGTGGCATCTATCTATGTACAAAAACCAGTAAGGAAAGTCTTAAAGTCGGGCGGTGCCGACTTTATGATACCCTACACAACTTTGCTAATTTAGTAGAGCTCCGCATAACAATTAAAAGTTTTTGTGGGAGAATTCAATCATACACGATATGATTATAATTATAATTTAAAGTTCAATGGACTAAATATGCCGAAGCATTTGTATCTTTTAAAAATCGGAAATCGGATAAAAACATATATATAAATCTGAACCGATCTCGATAAAATTTGGCAAAGATATTTCTGAGCTGTATTTGATATATATCCCTGAATATCGTTGTTACGGAGTGCATATTACGGCTGTGGGTAACAAATACAACAAATCGGATGAACGATATATATGGGAACTATAGCTATATCTGAACCGATCTTCACCAAATTTAGCATACTAGCTTCTAGACTCAATTCGGTCGTAAGTGCCAAATTTCATCCCATTTGGGCAAATATAAGACGTTTGGTGCACAATAAAATGTAAATCGGACAAAGTTATATATGGGACCTATATCCAAACCTGAACCGATCTCGATAAAATTTAGCAAATGTATTTCTGAGCTGTTTGATATATTTCCCCAAATATTGTTGTTATAACGTGCATATTACGGCTGCGGAGGACAAAAATAACAAATCGGATGAACAATATATATGGGAGCTATAGCTATATCTGAGCCGATTTCGATCAAATTTGGCATACTTATTTTCTGATCTTACGTGCAAAATTCCATACTATTCGGACTGATATTACACGTTTGGTGCACAATAAAAGGCACGAAGATATATATGGGAGCAATATCTAAATTTTGACCGATTATCTCCAATTTCAATAGGATTCGTCCTTGGGCAAATGATTTGTGCAAAATTTCTTCTGGATATGGCAATAAATGCGAACTGTACTTTGTTTACAAAATACATGGACAGACGGACGGACGGACATGCATAAATCGACTCAGAATGTGATTCTATGCAGATCATCAAAAGGAACTATGGGTCCATCTCGTTTCCTTTTGCCTATTACAAACAAATGCACAAAGACATAATACCCTGACCACCTTGTGGTGTAGGGTATAAATAGTAGTGAAATAACTGGCTGAAAAACTGACTGACCAAGAAATTTTGCACGAGGGTCTGTCATGGTTTGATAAGGTCGGTTTTTGGAAATTCGTACTAGAAAGATACGAAAAGTACTAAAATGTTCTAAATATTTAATACTTTGTATTGGTCAAAAGAAAATTTGGAATGAGAGTCACTAATGAAGTGCGGATAAATGTACCAAGGGATTTTGAAAATTCGAACTCTTCGTTTACGAAATGTTCTAAAATAATACCAAAGTTCTAATATGACACTATTTGGTATTATGTGAACTGATATAGCTAAAACCTTGAAATTTGGTATGAGGATCAGGGTTGGAAAGTAAGTTTTAAACCAACTGTGTGAAAAGTATTAAATGGTATTTAATTTGGAGAGATAGGGAGAAAAAGAAATTTTATACGGTGATCCCTATTGGTAGTGGAGTTGTGTTAAGGAGGTGATTTTGAAAATGGAAAAGGGGACGAAAACTCGGTGAGATAAAAAAGAAAAACTGCAACAAAGTCAACCTCATATTTTTTATATCTTTTTTTAATTTTTTGAATGAAAGCAAAAGATGTCGGAAATAGCATCAAATTTTAGAAAAAGTTTAGATTTGTTCGATTTGGAATTTGATACGAATTATGGCCCTAAAACGGCCAATGAAACCGTCACACGTTGCTAGAATGTTGCTCTGCGGTATTTTTACCCATTCCCGGCGAAGCTCTTGCTTGAGGTGATCGACACTTTGAATTTTTTTAGTGCCAACCTTGCTTTCCAAAAAAATCCAGCCACAATACTACAACGGATTGGTATCCGGAGATTTTGCTGGCCATTGTGAAATGAAGCGAGGAACCTCATTTTGTAACCATTCTTGGGTGGGGCATCCTGAGTGCAAAGGTACTGAGTCCTGTTGGAATGTCCAAGGTCTGCGGGCAAAATGTTAACATGCCCAAGGCTTTAATTCACCCTACAGACAATTTTCGTGATAATATTCGGCATTTTTTCTGATGCCACGGTCGATTAATACGAGCGGAGAGCGACCATCGGCTGTTATGGCAGCCAACAACATCAACATGGCCGGCGCTTGAGTTCTGGTGGCCAACCGAAGGTGCACATTTGCAGCTGACCTCTTTGGCAAGTAAACACGATCATTGTGTTTGTTTACAAACTGCTGGACAACGAATGTTTTTTCAAAACCAAATTCGGCAGTTCACTACTTTCGGCTAAGCGAAGCTAAGAAACTCTTTAGCTCTTTTGAGTCTTCTTTCTTTCAGTTGCGGTGTAAGTTCTTGCACTTTTTGGAACTTCAATGGCTTCACCCCGAGCTAATTTTCAATATTTGCTGAATGGAATATTGCGATATGTTAAGCTCATGAGCCATTTTTCGACCACTGCGACGCAGGTTTCGATCAAGTCGCTTCTTTACTTTTCGAACAATTTCTGCTGATGTTGCTTTTTTCTTTCGCCCACTTCTTTGACGTCGGGCTACGCTACCAGTATCACGGTAACGAGCGATTGTAAGAGACACAAAAGATTCATTCACATTTAAATGCTGGAGTGCTACAACGATAGCCACTTGTGTTTTTTTTTTTTAATTTTTTTCTGGAAAATTCTCACGAAAGCACTTGTAAACAATATAATGAGCTGTCACCGAAATAATTTTAACAACTGTCGGACGAATGGCAAAGAAATGACAGCAGTCTGAAGTTGGTTGCAGTTTTTTCATCTCAGCCTGCAGATAGATTGATAGAAGATTTACAGATTTTTTCTGAGAAGATCAGCGATCTTCTGTATTAATTCAATATTGATAAAATATTGAGATTTTCTACAAGAAGATCTACAAATAGATGTTTTTTCCTTATAAATATAAGTTTTGGTCTATTTTCTTTGTGTGGAATATTTTCAATATTTAGCAGCCAGTATGCATTTGGATTCATAACAGTTTCAAATATATACCATCGCCCCATATCTACCACACGCAAGTTATCAGTTCTATTCGTAAATATTTCTTTAATTGATTCAATGAATTATAATCCGATAACAACAAGTAAAACACCTGAAAAATGTTCGCATGTTTCATACAAGTGACCAATTAGGACGTCAGAGATTAGCGGAACAAGCGTACACAAGCCATTATAAATGTGATAAAGATAAAATATCTTTTGACTAAAACTTTAATCGGTTTTCAGCTGTTCCGCCGAAAAATTCGCGTGTATCACAGATAAATATTATAACTAAATGCTATGAGGGTATGTAAAGCAAGGTAAACGCACTATTCAAGTCGTGTCGCACACATTTGTTTACAAATGTTTATTGTTTTTATCGATAACGTCGATTGCCAATTGAACGTCAGTTGGTGTCGAGATAACACAACTGGTAAATAAACATAAAAAAATGAAAATAAAAATAAAAACTGTTCGTTATTTATGGTATGTTTGATTTGATGAAAGTGATTGCGATTGTTATTTATGGGTTTAAAGAACAATATAAAGAAGGGTTCTTTCGCATGACAAAATGTAAACATATCTTAAACAACCTTGCGATTGCCAAAATCCATCCCATTTGGTCTAATCTTATACATTTGGTGAACAATACACTTAAAATCGTACGAAGATATATACCAATTGGAATCGATCTCGATAAAATTTGGCAGAGATATTTCTATGCTGTATCTGATATCTGACACCAAATATTGGGCCAAAAAAAAATTATTTTGTGGAAAATTGCATCTCAATCAGACAATAAATGCAACCTGTACTTTGTTTGCAAACAAATATGGACAGACGTACGATTATAGATAAATCGATTCAGAATGAAGATGTATGTTACAAACATATGCACAAAGACGTAATACTCTGTACCACAGCGTGGGGTCGAGTATTATTACAGCGATTTGAAACTAGTACCATTCAGTACTTTTCGAACAAAATCAACACCAGAAGACTCAATATAAAATTTTGGGATTCCAGCCGTCTACCTTCATGCAATACCCAATTTAGTACCACTTAGTACTTTTCGAACACTTATCCTAACCATAGACACGATTATAAAATTATAGGGCACATTTTCAAAACCACCTCCATATCTCAATTCCCAATAACAACAGATAACTCAATATCAGATTTGAGAATTCCAACCTTATGCCTTCAGCCAATACCAAATTTAGTACCATTAACAACTATTCGTACGAATATAGGACGCATTTCCAAACCAACGCCAAATCTCAAACACCGATAACATCAGTAATCTTCACATCAAATTTTAGAATTTTATCTCTATCCCTTTACCCAATGCCAAGCATAGTACCCTTCAGTACTTTTCGTACAATTACAGTACACATTTCCAAGCCACCGCCAAATCTTAAACGTAGATTCCCTCGAAAATCATATATTATCTAATTTCAGAATTTTATGTCCAAAACCAATTATGTATGTATATAATACCAAATATAGTACCATTCAATACTTGTTGTACAATCATGGTATACATTTACGAAATCAACTCCATATGCCGAAGCTACACAGCGAAACTAATGCCAAATTTCAGATTTTAAGCTTTATCTGTTTACCCAATATCAAATTGTACCAAATATAGTACCATCTAGTACTTTTCGTCTACTTTTTCACAAAATTCCAAATAGTACGTAAATCCCTGCCATGAGACGGCGCAACTCAATCCCGTACCCAAGTACCAAATTTAGTAAAATTTAGTACGTAATTTCAAAACCAACTCCAAATCTCAACTTTGCACACTAACACTGATCGTAAAATCTAATTTCAGATTTCATGCAGTATCCGTTCACACAACAGCAGATTTGATACCATTTAGTACCTTTCGTATACTTGCTGAACGATTTTCCAACCCCAATTTTTTATCCACCCCTGCCAATTATCAGTGACCCCAATACCATCATTTAGATTGGTTGGAATTGGTCACCTTTGGCACGAATTATGGCCTTTAAACCGACAATGAATCCGTCACACGCTGCCCGAATGTTGCTCTGCGGTATATTGACCCATTCTCGGCGAAGCGCTTGCTTGAGGTGATCGACACTTTGGTATTTTTTAATGCTCATTCTTAGGTTGCGCGTGCTGAGTGCGTTGGTCCTGAGTCCTGTTGGAATGTTAAAGGTCTGCGGCCAATGAATGTTTTCTCATCGGAGAAAACCAAATTCGGCAGTTCATCACAAGTCTTTAGCTCTTTCGAGTCAATTTTCTTTTCGTCGCGGTGTAAGTTCTTGCACTTTTTGGAATTGGGAATTTCAATGGCTTTACCCCGAGCTCATTTTTCAGTATTTGCCGTATGAAATATTGAGATGTGTTCAGCTCACGGGCCATTTTTTGGCCACTACGACGCGGGTTTCGATCAAGTCGCTCCTTTACTTTTCGAACCATTTTTGCTGATGTTGCTCTTTTCTTCTAGTATTACGAAAACGAGACACAAAAGATTTATTCACATTTAAATGCTGGAGTGCTCTAATGATAGCCACTTGCGATTTTCCAGCCAAATATAAAGAAATCACACTATCACGCTTGAATTCCATCACGAATAACTTTTTTTCTGAAAAAAAAAAACAATATGAAGAGCTGTCACTGGAATAATTTTAACAGCTGTCGGACGAGTGGCTTAAAAATGGCATAAATCTTCCGATTAGGGATTTGAATTTAAGTGGCTAATATCAGCCCAAATGTACTGAATTTTGGCACTTCCGACGGAATTCAGCCCAGAAGCAGATACTTCAAATTTTAGTGAAAATCGGTTCAGATATAGCTATAGCTTCCATACATATGTTTCATCCGATTTGATGTTAAAGTCGCTCACATGCGTAATATGCACTCCACAAAAATTATATTTTATACCGGACATCAGATACAGCTCGAAAATACTTCTGCCGAATTTTATCGAGATCTGTTCAGATTTTTGCTTTTGTTATGACTTCATCCAATTTTACGTTTATTGTCCACCATATATGTAATCTCAGCCCAAATTGGATAGATTTTTTCATATTCAAACGAATTTTTCCATTTGGTTAAACTCGGTCCGGCATATCTATTGCTCCAATAAATATTTTTTAGTTTAATTCTTATCGAGTCATATCAAGCATTATACAGCAATGTTATTTGGTTGAAAATCGATTCAGAATTAGATTTAGTTTCCAAACTGTGACTACTCTAAAGCCATGATACGCATTGAAATAAGGTTCATAGTTGGTACGATCAACTTCACATAAATTCCCAATATAAACCCTACTAAATACTCATAGTGGTGTAGGGGTAGCATATAGTTAACCCCGCCCGACTTATGAACTTTCCTTACTGGTTTTCTTTTTATTTATGGCCTTTGGAAGGTATTGTCATATGACTCATTAAAGATCAGACGAAAGTCCTGCTAAGCGCTTTGTATAAATAGGCTATTTGGGACTTACCATGGGCACAGTATATGTGCTGTTATTAATCACATTAATATCTGTTTCAATTTCAGGACCCACATTGGGCATGCGTCACGTGCAGGCACTTTTGATATTCTTGAATATTGTGGTGGTCTACATCAGTCGTTTAAATATCGGCGTGGCTGTGGTGGCTATGACAAATGCAGAAACAACAAATCCCAATTTTGCGGTAAGTATATTTATAATTTAGATAATTATTTATTTTATTAACAAAAATGTTTTCTTTTTTTTTTCGTAGGAATTCGATTGGAATGAAAAAGAAATCTCCTATATTCTATCCAGTTTCTATTGGGGTTACGTTTTCACTCAGTTCCCGGGTGGAGCATTATGTAAACTCTTCGGTGCCAAATTAACGATGGGTCTATCAACGTTTTTCTCTGCTGTTCTGAGTGCAGCAACACCGGCTGCAGTCACCTGGGGTGGATGGCAAGCGTTCTGTGCAATTCGTGTGATACAGGGTCTCTTTCAGGGTATGTTATTCCCCTGCATACACGAACATTTGGCCAAGTGGTCCCCGCTACAGGAACGGAATCGTTTGGGTGCCTTAAGTCATACTGGCATTGAATGTGGTACAGTTTTGGCAATGGCCATTACAGGTCTAATTGCTGAAGGGCCACTGGGTTGGCCGGGTATTTCATATGTTTCAGCTGGTCTGTGCTTTGCATGGTGCATATTTTGGTTTATATTCTCCGATAATAATGCCACCGAATCACGTTTCATAAAAGAGACGGAAAAGAATTACATTGAATCATCAATGGAACATGCCGAAGATTTCCACAAGAAAAAGATTCCAATACCATGGAAGGCTATATTCCTGTCGATACCCTTCAATGCCCTCTTGGTGGCCCGTTGTGCCGAGGGTTGGGGTCTGGCAACGTTGCAGGCTCAAATTCCCTCCTATTTGCATGGTGTATTGGGCATGGAAATAAAATCAAATGCCTTATACTCGGCCTTGCCCTTCCTGGCCATGTGGGCAATGTCGTATGTCTATGTTTTGACGGCAGATATTTTGCAGCGCAAAAAGATTCTAACATTGTCGGCCATTAGAAAAATCATAAATAGCTGTGCATTTTGGATACCGGCAGTTGGTCTAATTGCAATTGGTTTCTTGGATGAGGGCAAGAAAACGTTGGCCATAGTTCTGATGACCATAAGCGTGGGAGTGAATAGTGGAGCCACAATCGGCAGTTCTTTGAATACCATTGATTTGTCGCCAAATCATGCTGGTATTTTGATGGGCATTGTCAATACCATTGCCAATTTTATGCCTTTGATATCACCGCTGGTGGTGGGAGTGATTGTCACAGATTCGGTAAGTGGAATTTATGGATATTTCTTGAATTCGAAGTACTATTAATTTAATTTTATTCTCTTATTTTAGAGCAATCGCACCGAATGGCAGGTTGTTTTTGCCATTTCATCAATAATCTTCTTTGTAGGAAATTTGATATACATTATATGGGGCACAGCCGTTGCCCAACCCTGGGATGCTGAAGATTTCCTTTTGCCCAAAGATGCGGAGACATCGTCTAATTATGAAACCACCAAAACTCCAGCCATAGAAAATAGTAAAGGATCATCGAAATAAATTAATCGACAACAATAACCATTAGTTTATAAGTAGTTGTAATTTTGTACAGAACTTATTTTATATTGTAAAAATAAAGTTAAAGTTAAATTTATATATTTACATATTTCATCGAGGTTAAAAAAATGCAGAAATATTCGAAAGTAAATTTCTGAAAGTGCATGTTCATTGAGTCCATCTACATATATAAAAGACTATCTACATATAAAAAAGATGGAAATATTTGTACGTTTGATTGTTTGCTTGTAGTTTATAGACTAAAGAAACTAAACATTTTCCACATATACTACAGCATCACCTGAAAGTAACATAGGCTATATAAATTTTAGAAATTCCGCTTGGAACTAGAGATATAGCATCAGAATCGGAGGTTCTTTAAACATGTAGATTTTGTATGCACATATCTATTGATCGATTACAGATACAGTCTTTAAATTTGGAATGCGTAACGGAATATGGTACGAAAATAAATTTGCCGAATTTGAGATGAAAAAACTACAACCAATTTCAGACTCCTGTCATTTCTAAGATACTCGTCCAACAGCTGTTAAAATTATTCCAGTGACAGCTCGTTATATTGTTAACAAGCGTACAAAAGCATTTTGGTGAGAATTTACCAGAAAAAAAGTTATTTCTGATGGAAATCAAGCATGATAGTGTGATTTCTTTATATTTGGCTGGAAAACCAAAAGTGGCTATCGTTATAGCACTCCAGCATTTAAATGTGAATAAATCTTTTGTGTCTCGTACCATCGCTCGTTACCGTGATACTGGTAGCGTAGCCCGACGCCAAGGAAGTAGACGAAAGAAAACAGCATCATCAGCAGAAACGGTATGTTAAGTAGAGAAACCCGCATCTCAGTGGCCGGAAAATGGCTCGTGAGCTGAACATATCGCAATATTTCATTCGGCAAATATTGAAATGCCAAAAAGTACAAGAACTTACATCGCAACGCAAAGAAAATAGACTCAAAAGAGCTAAAGAGTTGCTTCGCTTGGCCGAAAGTGGTGAACTGCCGAATTTGGTTTCCAACAACCAAACAAAGAAATTAATCGTGTTTACTTTCCAAAGAGGTGAGCTGAAAATGTTCACCTTCGCTTGGCCACCAGAACTGAAGCGCCGGCCATGGTGATGGTGTGGGCCGCCATAAAAGCCAATGGTCGCTCTCCGCTCACTCCGTTTGTGACTCCTCGAAATACTCATGTCAGACCCAACAAAGTATATATATATACTATATATATATATATATATATATATATATATATATATACATATATATATATATATATATATATATATATATATATATATATATATATATATATATATATATATATATATATATATATTCTCGATCAGGGTAAAATTCTAAGTCGATTTAGCGATGTCCGTCTGTCTGTCTGTTGTAATCACGCTATGAATTGAGATAGAAGGCTACATGGGAGGGAGAAGGCTAAATGGGCCATGTAGGTCCACGTTTTCATATAGCCCCCATATAACGGTACCTCCCGATATTCGGTATTTTGATGATTTTAGCGACATTATTCACCGGAATTGTTTCAAATTGGGTATTTGAAGATCGAAATGGATACTACACCCTAAGACAGAAAGTTGTCATTGCAGGTCCACGTCTTCATATAGCCCCCATATACCAATATTTGGTATTTTGACGATTTTAGGTACAATACCCACCGAAATTGTTTCAGATGTGGTATTTAAAGTTCGTAATGGATACTACAGCCTGTGTCAGAAAATTGTCTATGCAGGTCCAGGTTTTCGCACAGCTCCGATATAACGGTACCTCCCTATATACGATATTTTGATGATTTTATCTACATTATTCACCGTTTATTTCAAGTTTCGAATTTGAATATGGTAATGGCTTATGACAAACAATGCATTTATAGATCCCAATATAACGGCTTTATTTGGTATTTTTAAAATTTTAACAGAAGTTTTTAAGGATTTTATTTTTTTAAAATTTCTAAATTCATTCCAAATGGTGGAGAATATTCATAGTTCGGCCCGGCTGAACTTACTGTTTTTTAACTGGTTTTATCTCAGCCTGTATTTTTCACTACTCTATAGCGATGTTATTTGGTAGAGAGGTACAAATGACTCCGTCAAATTTGATGGAAATCAATTCAGATTTGGATATACATCCCATATATTATTTTCCTCTGATTCCAAATTATAACTTCTCCAAAGCTTTAATACTCATTCAAAAAGGGTTCATAGCTTGTATGATCTACTTCAACGTTATTTTGTTACTGGTACCTCTACTAAATATGTACAGATGTGTTGGGTATTGTAAAGTCGGTCCCGTCCAAATTTTTGACCTTTCTTTACTGGTTTATTTGAGTCCAAAAGTACAGAAAAATGGATCGATGGAACCCCCTTGAATGCACATACACGTTATAATATATCATTACATTATTCAATTTTATGATCATACTAGCTGAACCCGGTGCGCTTCGCTACCCCTTTTGATTTTATATGCATTCAAAATTTTATTTACGAATATATGTTGGATAAAGAAAAACAAATTTAAAAATTAAAAAAAAAAATATTGCACTAATTTAATGCGTTAATAAACAAAATCATTACAAAAGCAGTAACATGACATGAATACACGAAGGGTTTGTCCTTTGGATTTATTTATTTCATAGCAAATACCAAGCGTGCAGGAAACTGCAATTTTTTTAAGTAGAGTGGCATTTCCATTGCAATTAGTGAATTCGAGATAGCAACATACTTCGCCGTAATAAGCGTATTTCAAATAAATTGTTATGTTGTTTTTTAGTGTTAGCCTAAGGCGTTGTGGGTCAATGGTTCTTATTAAAATCATATCCCAATCTGATCCGACTTAAATATAATTTTAAAAAAATTTATTTTACACCAAACTCCGCCACACCTTTCATATTTCATTGAAATTGGTGCGTCAAATATGTGAAATCCGCCGAGAATATATATATATATATGGGAGCTATATCCAAATCTTAACTAATTTCCAATTAATTTATCACATTTATTATTATAACCAAATTCCGCCACACATTCTGAATTTCATTGGAATCGGTCATATATATCGTGTTTGGTGCATAATATGTATGAAATCGGCCGAAATATATATGTTAGCTATATCCAAACCTCAACTGATTTCAATATAATTTGGCAATTTTTGCTGGTGCCAGATTTTGTCCCTCTCGCTTTGGGTGCATCAAATATGTGAAATCGGCTGAGTATATATATGGGAGCTATAATCACATCTGAGCGTATTTGAATATAATTTGTCAAATTTATTTTTGTACCAAATTTAGCCACTCATGCCGAATTTCATTGGAATCGGAAATACGTATCGTGTTTTGTGCATCAAATATGTGAAATCGGCGGAAAATATATATGGGAGCTATATCCAAATCTGAACCGATTTTAATATAATTTGACTAATTTATTTTCTAATCAAAATCCCGTTACATATTCCAAATTTCTTTGGAATCGAACATACATATCGTGTATGGTGCATAAAATACATGAAATCGGTCGAAAATATATATGAGAGCTATATCCAAATCTGAACCGATTTTAATATAATTTGACAAATGTATATTTGTTTTAATTTCCGCTACACATTCCAAATTTCATTGAAATTAGAGATACATACAAATTAGAGATACAAAAATATATATGGGAGCTATATCCAAATCTGAACCGATTTCAATTTAATTTGACAAATTCATTTTGGCTCCTAATTCCGTTACTTATTTTAAATTTCATTACAATTGGAAATACATGTCGTGTTTGGTCCACCAAATACATGAAATCGGCCGAAAATGTATATGGGAGCTATATCCAAATCTGAACCGATTTCAATATAATTTGGGAAATCAATTTTTTAGATAAAATCTATCACACGTTTCGAATTTCATTAAAATTGGGGATACATAGCGTGTTTGGTGCATCAAATGCTTGAAATCGGCCGAAAATATATATGTGGGAGCTATATCCAAATCTGAACCGATTTCAATATAATTTGACAAATTTATTTTCTGATTAAATCCCGTCACACATTCCAAATTTCATTGGAATCGAACATTCATATTGTGTTTGAGGCATCAAATGAACGAAATCGGTCGAAAATATATGTGGGAGCTATATCCAAATCTGAACCGATTACAATATAATTTGGCAAACTTATTTTTGTTCCAAATTCCGTTACGTATTCCAAATTTGGAGACTGTATCTTCAACCAATCAATAGATATGTGCATATAAAATCTAAATTTTTGGGAGGTACCTCCGATTCTGATGCTATATCTCCAGTTCCAAGTAGAAATTCAAAAATGTATATAGCCTATGTTACTTTCAGGCGATGTTGCAGTATATATGGAAATTTTCAGGAAAATCTATTCAGCGGTTTTCGAGTCCATAAATTACAAACAAACAAACAAACAAACAAACAAACAAACATACAAACATTTTCCTCTTTTATAGATATAGATGTCAATCCTGTTTAATTAAAATATATATTAAATAAATTAATGTGAGAAGATGTGGGCCAAGAATTGGACTGGTTTATATTAAAAAAACAAAAAAACAATTAAAAAAACATTAAGTTCGGCTAGGCCGAACTTTTAATACCCTCCACCTACAGGTAAAAAAAAACATTTTTATATAAAAGTATCTAAATTCAAATGTGTTCCACTTTTAACTAAAAAATACCAGTAAGACCGTTTGGATAATGCTGTTAAACTTAAAACTAGTAAAAACCAGTAAAGAAAGTCCTAGAGTCGGGCGGGACCGACTTTATGACACCCTACACCACTTTGCTAATTTAGTAGAGCTACACATAACAATTAAAAGTTTTTTATGGGAGAAATCAATCATACACGCTATGATTATAATTATAATTTAAAGTTCAAAAATCTAAATATGCCGAAGCATTTGTATCTTTTAAATTCGGACTTGTGTTTCCCATTTAGTGCAAAATTAATTTGAAATCAGATAAAGATATATATGGGAGCTATGTATATCAAAATCTGACCCGTCTCGATAAAATTTGTCAAAAATATTTCTGAGCTGCAATTGATATATTTCCCTGAATATCGTTGTTACGGAGTGCATATTACGTCTGTGGGTAATAAATATAACAAATCGGATGAACAATATATATGGAAGCTATAGCTATATCTGAACCGATCTTCACCAAATTTGACATACTAGATTCTAGATTCAATTCGGACGTATGTGCCAAATTCCATCCCAATTCGACAAATATTAGACGTTTGGTGCACAATTAAAGGTAAGTCGGACGAAGTTAGGTATGGGAGCAAT